CCCCATTTAATGGATTTGGGGCCTTTGTCAAAGATCAGCTGACTATAGGTCGATGGATCTATTGCTGGGTTCTCAATTCTATTCCATTGGTCTATTTATCTGTCATTAAACCAATTCATGGTATCTTGTCTTAATGAGTACAATGGTATAAAAAATGAAAATTGCTAAATAATCAACAAATTGCCAAATTATTGGTTTTCTATGTTAGAAAAGAAGAAAGGCTGAGTTTTCTATATAGGTGGTATGGTTTGGACTCTGCTTTGTAAAGAATTAGATGGCAATATTCAGAACAGAGAGGTTCTAGACTGTAAATTTAATGTGAATTTGGGCCAGAATCTCCATTTGAGGGCCCCAGGTTGCTGATTAGTATACTCCTTTTTTTGATTTTTAAGTAAAAGGTTGTTCTGGTTACCTAGTGCCATTCTGACAGGAATATACCACAAATGAGATGGTCTTAACAAACAGGAGTTTATTCTTACAATTTGGAGGCTTTAAGTCCAAGTTCAAAGTGCCAGGTTCTAGGAGCTGGGTGAAAGCCCCTCCACCTTGGGGTCCAGCTTTTCCTCTTGCTCCCAGCCCAGTGGAGCTAGAGGCATTTCTTCACTCAGACAGCTGCTGGCTGCTGAGCCTGAGAAGCCACAAGGTTGATAAGTAAAAAGGCACAGTCCTGATGTTACCAAACCACATGGCAGGCCATTAACTTAAGTCCGTTTTAAGTCCCAGGGTCGGCAGAGCATAGCAGGCTGCTGAGCAATGACATGGCTATATGCAGGGTCCAAGTGTGCCATAGGCTAGAGATCATTCCCAAGGTTTCTCCTTACATACAGGAAGCAGACCACATCCCAAAGGCAGCTACTCAGATCTTTGTGGTAGATCCCACCATGGAGTTGATTGCCAGTCTCATAATGGGTAATAACTACCACCAGATGCCCAGCCACTCAACCAGGCACAGCCAAGCAGACACACAAACATAACTACCACAAAGGTTTATGTAAAACATTAATTAATACAAATACTGGCTCCCTCACTAGGTGCTAGTCATTGAGGTGTTCCTAAGGGCATATTTTTTTTTTACTCTTGAGAACATAAATCTGGTAGCTGAACCATTCACCCTTATTGAACTATTTGGTGTTGTGCTTTCTTCTAATCTAGTACCGTATAGTTCCACAGTGAAGTGTCCTCAAAAGTATTTATTGTCTTGTTGTTGCTATATTTTTTAACCACAATTTAAATGAATGAATTTTAGTACATTTTATTTAACTAGTTTCTATTTTCCTTTAATGTGGCAAAATAAAACAGCTGCTATTTCAACCATGTTTACTTGTACAATGGAATGACATAAATAACAAGTTTTCTATTCTTGTGTCCAGTATTTTTGTATTAAAATAGTGAAGATACAATATTATTGGAAATGATTCCATTGTTAAAACTACATATATATTAGATTTTGTTGATAGTAATTGCCACTTTTATAAGTAAACCCAAACTTATATTAAAAAGTATAATGATTTATATTTGTGTGTGTGTGTGTTTCAATAGGTTGTAGTTTGAGGCTTTGTACTAACTGGTTCAGCCTAGATTTGGTAGCTATATTTAGAAGGAACTTTTTTTAGCATAACAGGGAGAAGGGTAATTTACTGTTGAAAGGTATGTTTCTCAGATGACAAAAAGTTGCCATATTCTAATGTATGCATTCAGTAGTTTTATGTGCTCTTTGTAGGAAGTCTTAAGCAGATATATAGTAAAAAAAAAAAAAAAAAACTTGGTTCTTCATAAATTAAGATTGGGTAACATCATTTTCACAGACTGCTATGGTGTACAGTGGAGCTCTGGGGTATTTTGGGAGTTCTGGTGGTATAGTGCCTGAGGCATTTGACTGGAACCAGAAGGCTGACAGTTCAAACCCACAAGCCACTCCTGTGAAGAAAGATTGGGCAATCTACTTCTGTAGAAATAACACCTTGGATATCCAAGGAGGGGTTGGTATGTGTCAACATCGACTCAGCATCAGTGAGGTGTTTTTTTTTTTTTTAAATAAAGGGAGTAAGGGAACATTTCACGTGAAAGCATTTAAACATGTTCTTAAGTGATTCAGCAAAAAACAAAACAAAACAATAAACTAAAAAACAAAAGTTTGAAGTAACTCAGGGATAACTTAGATGGGGAAAAATGAGAATATCAAAATGTTGATATAGAGATGACTTGCTATTGATTTTATTTTGGAGAAAGAGTGAATCACTAGTATAAATAAGTATGGAAAGAGAAAATAATAAATTTTGAAAATAGAAAATGAAGCTTATTTTTGACACATTTACGAATTGATAAATGAAAACCAAACTCACTGCCATAGAGTTGGATCTGACTCATAATGACCCCTCCTTGGGTTTCCAAGGTGGTATCACTATGGGAGTAGATTGCCCAACTTTCCTTCTGAGGAGTAGCTGGTGTGTTTGAACAACCAGCCTTCTGGTTAGCAGCCAAATGCCTTAGATACTATGCCACCAGAGCTCCCATAAGAACTGGTAAGTAAAATAAAATTAAATGTGAAATGTGGGAGTTAAGATGAGGGAATAGTGAAGTAGAGAGGTTCATTGGTGATCGTGGAAGCATGGGAGTAGGAGTAATTTTTAATATGTCTCTTGTGATTTTCATGAAAATTTGTCTGTTTTAAATTTGGTAGATAGTAGTGCAGCTAGAACATGCTTTCCTCTGCAGGCTCCATCTACTGTTTGAAGCTTCTGCCCAGCTTGCATTGTTTATAGGAGAAGCTGCATTATACCTTTATCTGTAGCCTTCTCCTAGGTCTTAAGGATCCAGAAACTTTCCTGAGGACATTGGATTTGGTGGAACAGCAGTCATGGTAAGATGACAATTAGGAGAGAGGGGTGGGAAATTGCTATAAGGGTCCAAAAGAATGATTTGCCAAGATATGTGTTGATTTGGGGTTCTGAATGTTAAAAATCAGAAATAAATCTACAGAGATACAGTCTCATGCATTAGCGTTACAACTGTAGATGAATATGATAGTATCATGTGGCAGTAACTAAACCAAACCCACTGCTGTCAAGTCGGATCTGCCTCATAGCGACCCCTCCTTGGGTTTCTGAGGTGGTATCACTGAGGAAGTAGATTGCCCAGCCTTCCTTCTGAGGAGTGGCTGATGGGTTTGAACCACCAGCCTTGTAGTTAGCAGTCAAATGCCTTAGGCACTGTGCCACCAGAGCTCCCTGTGGCAGTGAAAAGGATTGTAAATTATTTTGCTTTGAGAAAATACAGGAGAGTTTCTGGTCATGATTATGGTAGTAAGGTATCATCCTGAAGGTAGATTTTAGATCAGATTATAGTAGTGTACCATATTTTAATGCAAATAACACACCCATTCTATGGTTCTTTTGCAAACCATAAAAGCCCATTAAGTGATAGTTTCCTGTTTACATTGTACACCTGTGCACATTATTTATGTGTGCGTGTTATATGTGGAAAATATACTTTGAAAATGCAGAAATGTAGAGTTCAGTTAGTGTAGAGGAAAGTAGTCTAGACAGAGATAAAATAATACTATTAGTAGTACAAACAAAAATGAAAAAATAACAACTTGGAGAGGAGAGAAAAGAGATAGGGTCAATTGTTCTGTAGGATGGTAAGATTTAGATATGAATTGGGAAAGGAAAGAGATTAGAATGAAGGGAACTGGATTCAAATGTAGACTAATATATTGAATGGGTTTGGAGGAAGGGCGGTGGATTTATTAGTGAAAGAAATCAGTCTGAGGTTTGTATGGGAGTGGGCTATCTAGTGGGCTAGAAAACTAGGCTGTGAACAAGTTGATTATTGACTCTTCATCTTACTTCTTGCAGACTGTGGGCAAGAGCAGTAAGATGCTGCAACACATTGACTATAGAATGAGATGTATTCTGCAAGATGGCCGAATCTTCATTGGTACTTTTAAGGCTTTTGACAAGCATATGAACTTGATCCTCTGTGATTGTGATGAGTTCAGGAAGATCAAGTAAGAAAGACCTGTTTGGGTAAAATGCATTCATGCAGAGGCAGTGGTAAACTAAGGCCAGAGCAAGAGGAAGGGATTATAGAGGGTAACTGAAATTAGATGGGAAAACGTGAAAGGTAGGGAAAAAGTATCTAAACCCTGTGTCTCATCTCCAGTTTGTTGCAGGGTCTCACAATGTTAGTCTTTACAGCCACTGAACTATTTCTAACTTGTAAAATTTAGTGATTCATGATCAAACTGTACAAGATGATCAAAATACCAAATTATATATTGTTGACAGACTGGTATCTATGGCAGTCTTTCAGACTGAGGCATATTTGTTGAAATAGAGAATAAAAATTTTTCCTCATGGTTGAGGAATGTGGACGTAATTGGAAGAGTCGGGGCTAGTTCTAGCATTTGTTCAACAGAAACTCTCTTTGTTTTATCTGAATCATTGTGTTCAGTGTTGATTTGTGTCAATCCCCTACCCCTTCTGCTCATTTAGCTGTGTGATATGTCTATTCCCTTACCCTGGTGATGATCACCATGTGCTTCTTGGACCATCTGCTTTGCACCTGTGCTTAGCTACCTTCCCCTTAACAGTGTCCTTGTACTAGGTCATATAGACCACCTTAAAAGGCTTACCATGACATTTTCTTTGCTTTTACAATGAAGAAATTAGTTTTACTGAAGTATAATGTCAAAGGAACATTCTGGAAAGGACTAAGGAGGAAAAGAGGTTTACCTTTTACCCTGCTGTACTCAGCACATTAGCTGAGTCTAAGCGTTAATTTTATCACAGGTCAGTAACTCTTATGTTTAAATGAGCTTCTTGGCATCAGTTATTATCTTAATTTTCACTTCATGATGCATGTGTATTTTATGTAAATATTTCGGTAGGAGAGAGATCCTATTTTACCTCACTAAAATTCACTTCTATTTATAGGCCAAAGAATGCTAAGCAGCCAGAACGTGAAGAAAAGCGAGTTTTGGGTCTGGTGTTGCTGCGTGGGGAGAACTTGGTTTCCATGACTGTAGAAGGGCCACCCCCCAAAGATGTAAGTAAGATGTAGTACAGGATAGAATTTTCACATGTGAAGAACATTACTTTATTGGAGGTATCTGCTACATCAGGGCATAAGAGAAGCACGCTATAGTACATATTTGTTGATTAAATTAGCATTTGATGTTAGTTCTTAGTTCTTTGTATATAGAAGTTTATGAGTTTTCTGAAGAATTATTTTCTGTATTAGGTAATACCTGGATAAGAATAGGAGCTCTGAAATACTTGCTCTTGAAATGGTGATAAAAATACATGTTTTCACAGTATGATAAATGTGCATTTTAGGCATTTTCAGGATGCCTCCATGGTTCATTTGAGTACAGAAGTAGGTTTTGAGGAAAGAGGGGGAGATTATTCCTTTGCTTATAGAACCAGTACGAGATAGGTGGAATGGGAAAAGGGTCGGAAAAGAGTAAATGAATAACATTACAGAAGTTAATTTCAAGCTGTAAACTTCCTTGTTTCAGACTGGCATTGCTCGAGTTCCACTTGCTGGAGCTGCAGGAGGTCCTGGAGTTGGCAGGGCAGCTGGCAGAGGGATACCAGCTGGTGTCCCAATTCCCCAAGCTCCTGCTGGATTAGCAGGACCTGTTCGAGGAGTTGGAGGGCCATCACAACAGGTGAGGAACAAGGAAGAAGTTTTATTTTATTGTAAGGAAGTACCTAGAGTCTAAAACCAAAAAATTTTAAAATCCTGAGTCTACATTGTATATTGTACAAACGGTATATGCTACAGATGGCACTGGGGGAGGGGGAAGGGAGTCAGAACTAGTTACTTAGAGTGAGTAATGACCATCTAAAGTCACCTTAGTAACTTGTCACTATGGTTATAAAGAGAAATATGGATATACTAGGGTTAAGAAGGGAGCTCTGGTAGCATAGTGGCTAAGGCACTTGCCTGCTAACCAGACGGCTGGCGGTTCAAACCCACCAGCCACTCCTCGGAAGGAAGGTTGGGCAATCCTACTTCTGTAGTGATACTGCCTCGGAAACCCAAGGAGGGGTCGCCATGAGTCGGTGCCAACTTGATGGCACACAACAACACAACAACAGGGTTAAGAAAACACAAAAGGATTTATTAGATGAGAAAAGGGCATGTTAGGTTTAAAGAACAATTGTGTCATTGTAGTAAGAGGTTTTTTTTTTTTTTTTTTAAATATAGAAACAACAGGATGAGTGCAAAATTAATACACCCTTTAAGGATTGAATGGGCTATGAGCCCGATTTATTTTCTGTTCTTGAAAAATGTGAAGTACACCTCAGTTTCACTGTCTTTCTGGTCATACCTTCTCAGGTAATGACTCCCCAGGGAAGAGGCACTGTAGCAGCTGCTGCAGTTGCTGCTACTGCCAGCATTGCTGGAGCCCCAACACAGTACCCACCAGGTCGGGGAACCCCATCCCCACCTGTGGGCAGAGCAACTCCACCTCCAGGTAAGGGACTGAACAAGCAATAGTGGATTTTGGTTTTTAAGCAACAGGTTTGGGTCTGTGGTGAGAGTTTGTAGAGTTTTGAGGGAATGAGGGCTAAGGAGGGATATTCTTGCTAAGAAGGTACTATATTAAGTCCCAGAAAAGTACTTAACTAGAAGCATAAGGCCATGCTCCTGTATTTTATGGATACTGGTTTTTTTTTTTTTGTTGTTGTTGTTGTTGTTGTTGGAAACTTGTGATTTGGGTGATATTTTACCGAGCAGATTCATTTACATTCAACAGTTCATACACATTTTGTTCTGTGACATTGATTACATTCCCTGTAGTGTGCCACTTCTCCTCCCATTTCATCCCTGTGTTCCCCTTTATCCTTCTTGCCTGTGCATTCCTGCCTCCTTACCTTTCTTCCTATGCAAATGCTGCCCTTCTGATTTCCCATGGTTGATTGTTCTAAGAGTGGATCTCCCTGGTGTAGTTGTTCATCTCAGAGGCCCATCTATTGTGTGGCTGAGAGTTAAGGTATGGTACTGAGTTCAGTTACAGGCCTCAAGTGTGACTCAGGGTCATAGTCTTGGAGATTCCACCAATCTTTCTCTGACCAGTAAACCTGGTCTTTTTATGATTTTAAATTTTTACTCTACATTATTTCTCTCCCACTCTAATCAGGATCTCCGGTTTTGACCCCTTTCCTAGTGGTTGGCATTGGAGCTGGGCACTATATAGTTCTTCTGGTTTCAGAGTCATATAGGCTGAAGTTCTCATGGTCCATTAGTCCTTTGAACTATTTCCATGCATGTTTCATTTCCTTCACACTTCTTTGCTCAGGATGAGGAAGGACTAATTGTTGCCCCTTAGATGGCCACTCACAATCTTTTAAGACCCAAGTTGTTACTCTCTAAAGTAAGATGTAGAACAGTATTTTTGTATACTGTGTTGTGACAGTTGAGCTTGCAGTCCCCATGACCATGGTCCCCAGCCTGAGACTCACTCCCTCAAGATGCTTAATTGTGGCTAAGAAGTTATCCTAACTTTGCCTCATTAGCTTTATACTGCATATGGACATATTTATAGCATATATAAATACATATGAAGGAATATCATCTGCCAAACCTATGTATGATCTTGAGTGTATTCCCATTCACCCATCCATACCTGATCATCTTAGAATACTGGATTTTTAATAAAAGGTTATCTTGTCTTTTAAGATAGGGGTGGGATACAGAGTTAGGAGCCAAAGAGAAAATGGGTATCTGGGTCCATTTATTTAATAATTATCTTGGGATGAATTCTGTTAATTTAGATTACTTTATTTATCAGGCTTTTATTTCTGTCATTTTCCTTTTACAGGCATTATGGCTCCTCCACCTGGTATGAGACCACCAATGGGCCCACCAATTGGCCTTCCTCCAACTCGAGGGACCCCAATAGGCATGCCCCCTCCAGGAATGAGACCCCCTCCACCAGGAATTAGAGGTGAGCGGGTGCACTAGTGTGCTTTGGATTGCTCAGTTCTAGTGTGGCTAGTGGTGGCAGCCAAGCCCTGAATACAAATATGCTCTTTTTCTAATAGTCTCATGGAATTAGTGTTTTTTTTTTTTTTCTCTTTCTAGGTCCACCTCCCCCAGGAATGCGTCCACCAAGACCCTAGGATATGTTGATCCTTCTTAAGTCACTTTTTTCCTGCATTGCATCCTGTAATACTGTGTAGAGTGTTTGTGAGAATTTTGTCTCCTTTTTGCTGCATTAATATTAGCTAAAAATAAAATACAGCAATTAAACTGCAAGGTACTGTGTATATATATATATATATTTTTTTTGGTGACCCTTGGTTTTGTGGAACTCAGAGTGGGATTTTTCTGCCCTTGAACTTAGAACTCCATTAAATAATTTTCTATTTAGTTCATATGATAAAATGATATCTTGTTTTTGGTTCTTAGCTTGGAACTTTGTGCACTGACTAGTGCTGGTCAATAACCTTTTATAGATAAAGGAACTAATGACCATGAAGATTAAGAAGTCAAGCTAAGATCTATGCTAACATAGTTCATACCATCTTAATCACAGAGAAATGGGAATGTGATGAAAAACCTTCCTATATACCAAGGAAATTGTGGTACTGAATTCACAGATATGCTAAATAATTAGAAGCCCTGGTAGTGTAGTGCCTAAGGCACTTGACTGCTAAACAGAAGGTTGGCGGTTCAAACCCACCAGCCACTCCTTGGAAGGAAGATAGGGCAATCTACTTCCGTAGTGATACTGCCTCGGAAACCCAAGGTGGGGTTGCTATGAGTCGGGTCGGACTTGACAGCACATAACAACAACAACAACAAGCTAAGTAATTAAAACATTTGGAATAGTACTGGCTTCTTTTTCTTGAAAATTTGCTTCAGGTGACCACTTTTTACAGCACCCTAGTGCCTGATGTAGCCATGGTAAGTGATCTGATCCTGGCATACTCATCACTTGAAATCAGTGAGTATTTACTTATCAATAACTGAGAGAAGTACACAGCTTGGGTAGTAGAAGTCAGAAGGATTGCACAATGAAGATAAAGCATTGTGTTACTTACCTTAAAATGTATTTGTTTTGCTATAATACAAATTCTGATTATGTCCAACTATTAGCACTTAATGAGAGCTCTGGTAGCATAATGCCTAAGGCACTTGACTGCTAACCAGAAGGCTGGCGGTTCAAACCCACCAGCCACTCCTCGGAAGGAAGATAGGGCAATCTACTTCCGAAGTGATACTGCCTCGGAAACCCAAGGTGGGGTCGCTATGAGTCGGGTCTGAGTCGATGGCACATAACAACAACAACAACAACAATTAGCACTTAATGAGATATTAGAATTCTTCAGAGAAATATATATTCTCTTCTAGTTAATAGCTAAGGAATGCCTAAGTATCTAGATCCAGTTTTATTGGGTAATTGAATAATGCAGTCATTTTTAAAAGAAAAGCAGAAGATTTTTTGGGGTTTTATTACTAAGGTTTCAGGGTTATTCAATAGGCAATGAGTAAATCACCCATGTTGATTGTAGGAGTTAATTTGTCAAGGACTACAGTTAGAGTTGGTGTTAGCTCCATACTAAACCTAAGGCTGTAGACTGTTTGGGATTGTGCTTTTTCCGGCTGGTGTTGTTTATATACACATTACCTTTTCTGTCTTTTCAGTTACATTCTTGCAAGTGGTGGTCACTCAAAGGGAACTTTGAAACAACTTACAGTTGTTATCAATATTATATCTCCAACAGAGTAGTTTTTAGGATTGTTGGCCACTGACTGTTAGACAAGGAAAATAACATAGGCAAGAATAGATGGTTTTGGAGAATTCGGTAACACAGGTCAAACATCACTTTTTTTTGAGTTTGTGAATGTTAAAAAAAAAAAAAAATTCTGAGATTTCAGCTCCTCGGCCAAGGTATTTTTTTCTACATCTTTTGAGACAGAGCTACTCTGTTAGACAAAATTGACTCATAAGACAAGTAGTTTTGTCTTCTGTATACAGTGTGTGAATCATATCTAAGGAGCTGTGTTTTCTGCTCAGTCTGCTGTGTGAACACTCTTTTCCCAGTGATCTCTGTTACCTGTTTTCATTTTTTGAAAGAAAACGTTATTCCTTGTGTATGTATGTTGGCATATACGGTGCTCAGATTTTGGCACAAGTGAGGATGCATCATACATGAAGAAAACCCATTGTTTATACTTCCTCAACATTGGCCTCTTTTACAGGTTAGAGATGCAAGGGGTTTACTTGTAATGACAATTTCAATTTGTTATGATACCATTCTCAGCATAGACCTTTCTGGAATTTTTTTTCTAACAATTTCTACATGTGTAACTCTGACATTGATCACATTCCTCAAGTTAACCATGGTTGTTGTCCTTTTCCAAATTGTTGTTGAAGCACCATTAACATATGCTCACTGTTCCATAAGCAAATACTCCCCTTTTCCCCTCTCTTCTCCAACTTCAGGTAACCATAAATTTTTGTTTCTAAACATTTGCTTATTTCATGTAAATTAGATCATACAGTATCTGTTCTTTTACAGTTGACTTAGCATAATTTTAAGATTCATTCATGTTCAACTACAATTCCAAAGTCCATACAACATAGTATCAGTTTTTTATAACTGAGTAAGTATGTCATTGTATCATGTACCATGTTTCATTTATGCATTTACCTGTTGATGGATGTTTCAGTTGTTTCACCTTTTGACTATTGTGAATAGTGCTGCTGTGAACATTGATGTACATGTAACTGTTCTTTATTATTATTATTATTACTGTGGTTTTGGTGAAAATTTACAGAGCATATACACTTTCCATATAGTAGTTCACATACACTTTGTATCATGACATTGACCACAATTTACCACAATGCAACATTTCCCCTCTTACTTCCTCCTGATAGTTACCTCTTCCCTGTGTCCATCTCTCCATGCTCTCCTGCACCCTGAGCTGTCTCCCTGTGCATAAGCAGCCCTTCTTTCTCCCATGCTTGTTCTCTCCAAGGAGTATATCTACCTCAGGTAAATGTTCAACTCATATGCCTGTCTATTGTTTGTCTGGAAGCCACAGGCATGGGTTCAATTCCAGACCTGAAGGGCAGCTTGGGACAATAGTCTCAGAGGTTTCACCAGGCTCTATCAGACCAGCAAATGTGCCCCACCCCCCTTTATTTTTTCCAAATGATTTTGAGTTTTGTTACACATCCTTCTCCCTCTCTATCCAGGATCTCCTTCATAGATCCTCTTCCGAGAGGTTGACATTACTAGCTGGGTACCATCTAGTTCTTCTGGGCTCATAGTCATATAGGCTGCAGATCGAATGGTGTACCAGTCACTAGGACTAATTGTTTCCATGAATTTTTGATTATATTCATTCTTCTTTGCTCTGGATAAGGGGAGACCCATAGTTGCATCTAGAAGGCAGCTTGCAAGATTTTAAGATCCCAGTCGCTACTCGCCACAGTAGGAGGTGGAACAATGTTTTGTGTAGTATATTATGCCAATTGAGCTTGATGCCCTCTGCGACTGTGCAAGCCCACAGGTTCAACTACTCAGACCCTCTAGGTAGCTGGCTGTGACCAAGAAGGGACTACAACCTTGCCCCTTGTCAGCTCTACTATACACTGGGGAATTCAGATCATACACATAAAGTTATAGGACCATTGTCTGCCAACCCTATACATGTTCTTGGGTACACTCCCCACTTTATAGATGTACCTAATAGTTCATCCTGTCCACCCATCTATCGTTCACTGACAACGCTGTTCTATATGTGCAAAAGGGTTCATCTTTGTTGTCTGTACTTCCCACGTACCTCTCTATGTCTTTCTCTTCCTCAATACCATTATATCGATCACTCATATTTGGTACATTGCACTTTTCTTAACCCCAAATCGATACTTATCTCTGTCTATCTAACAGTGCATATAACTGTCTTATCTCTTAGTTATATAGCTGGCATTGATATTGCTGGGTCATACGGTAGTTCAGTGTTCAACTTTGAGGAATTACTTAAATGTTTTTGACATTCTACCATTTTATTGTACATTACCAACAGATTCACTATTTCCATCAGCAGTGATTGAAGGGTTCCTGTTTCACTAAACCTTCAACATTTATTGATTTTCATTTTTCCCACTGCCATGCTCATAAAGGATAAGATGGTATTCCATTATAGTTTCTATTTGCATCTCCCTAATGGCTGATGAAGGAGCATTGATAGTCCATTGGTTAAACACTTGGCTGCTAACTGAATGATTGACAGTTTGAACCGACCAGCCACTCCATGGGAGAAAGATGTAGTGGTCTCCTTCCACAGAGATTTACAGCCTTGGAAACTCTATAGCACAATTTTCTTCTGTTCTATATTTCTGCTATGAGATAGAATAAATTTTGCTACAATGGAATAAGAATGACTAATGAACATCCTTTTGTATGCTTTTTGGCCATTTGAATATTCTCTTGGGCCATTTGAATATTCTCTTTTGTGCTTCATGGAATTGTTTTGATAACCTTATTGCTTTTGTGTTAAGTGCTAGAAGATCACTTTGAATAAATATTTTCATGAAATTGTATATAGAGTGTAAAGATATATGTCTTCAAACAACATCAAACTTCAAACATCAAAAACATGAGACTTAATGTATTTTAGAAATTTTTGTATATTCCTGAACTCAAATCAGTATGTGCCTCATCTAAAACATGACAGGCAACAACTTCCTGGTTTCCTAGTATACATTTTTATTAACTGACTCCAAAGCTATGTTGCATATCATATCTGGTATTGTTTTCATTGTGATTTAAATAATACTTTCTAACAGAGCTCTGGTAGCATAGTGCCTAAGACACTTGACTACTAACCAGGAGGCTGGAGGTTCAAACCCACCAGCCACTCCTCGGAAGGAAGGTTGGGCAATCCTACTTCTGTAGTGATAACTGCCTCAGAAACCCAAGGAGGGGTTGCTAGGAGTCGAGGCTAACTCGATGGCAAATAACAACAACAAAAACAACAACAGAATTCTGAGATACAGTAGTTATGCTAAGTTAGGGTCGCTATGAGTTGGAGCTGACTTGATGGCATCTGACAACAACATGTTAAAAGTTGGTTTTGAAGTCTTTGTGGTATTCTGTGTTAATATGATAGAAAAACTGAGGTTGGTAGAAAAAATTTCTAAGTTGCTTAGGCATCCTCCATCTTATGATAGTCATTGGTCCTTAATCATGCAATCCTGTCAGTGTTTAAGAGTCTTGTAATTAATGGACTGA